TACATAATTATACCAAAATATTGTTTTTTAATTTCTCTGTGTTTGTACTGGCTAATCTCTTGAATGGCTGGACTGATTTTGACAGGTGACTTTTATTGGCGTTTAGCTCATGTCCTAAGAAGCAACATAGGCTACTTTTATTTTGGTAAATCGAAACATAAAATAGTTATGGTCCTAAAATAAATATCGTACGCAAACAAAGTCACGGGCAACAGCTATTTAATAAATACAAAATGAAGCTGTCTGTCTATAAATATTCATAACACGATTTAAAAAAAGAATACGTTTATATCCAAGAAGAATGTCATCCATAGTATGTTCAATATCACAAAACAAATCCAGAAATGTTAAAATATCGAGAGCTCAAAAAGCTATTACTGTGATAGTGGCACAATTTTCGATTGTTCTTCCGTGAAAATCGTCGGCTAGTTTACTGCAAATCCAGTGTACGACTATTGTTTGTGTTCGAACACTTTCTGTGCTTAGGATACGTGTGTGGCCTTTTGATATTTTGCTGTATTGTGTATGTAAAGGGTTATATTTTAATGCAGCATGGACTTGTAGCAATCATAGTATATAGTGGTTTTTTATTTTCATTTCTATATTTCTAATATTATGTTGCTCAACTGTCTCGTTGGCCGAGTGGTCGCTAGTGCGACTGCCGGGCAAGGGGTCTCGGGTTTGATTCCCGGGTCGGGCAAAGTATTAATGGGTTTTTAAAAAATTCTCAATAGTAGCACGGAGTCTGGAATTGTGAATTGTGCCCGGTATATAGGCTCACCCCTATTACATGGGACTCGTAACATAAATAGTGAAAAGTGGATGTTACTTCTGTGTGGACCTCTGCCTACCCCTTCGGTGATTAAAGGCGTGATGTTTTGTTATGTTTTGTTATATTTTGTTATGATTTGTTATGTTAAATATTATGTGACACCTCTTACCTAATATTCTCATAATCTTCATTCTTGGCAATCGGGCTGGAGAATGCAGTTTTCGAGGTCCAGGTTTATGACATAGTGCTGGCTGCTGTCTAGTTTCTGTTATACGTGTGTTCTCGGCTTGGACAAGACCTGCAGAAACTGCCACCAACACAGAGCTAGATTCATATCTTAAGATATACCTACATGTCATTATATTTTAAGTAATTAAAACATTTTTTTTTCTTTTTTAAGTGTGGGAGAGCCATGCTTCGGCACGATTGGGCCGGTTTGACCAGAGTAATACCACGGCCTCACAAAGAACCGACATGAAACAACATATGTGTTGTGTTTCGTCGTGTGACCCTGAATTCCCAAAAATCCTCAAAAGGCCGGTAACGTACTTGTAACGCCTCTGGTGTTTCAGATGTCCATGGTCGACGCCGATTGCTTACCATCAGGTGATTCGCTCGTTTACCAGCCTAACCTATAAAAAATCTTGCAAATAACACCTTACATAAAACATAAATCCACTGGATAAATGAAATGTTCCACCTGTTTCTTGTTACCGCTAAGATATCTTCACACGAGGGAACAAACAAGTCATCTGGTTTAACTCAACTTTTGTTCTCACCCAGTTTAGGTGGAAATAATTAAATAGCCACGTGTTTGTGCTTTGAAATCAAAGACTTTGCCATTGTTATGTTTGGGAGTTTCTATGAATTTCTTGTGATGTGCAATTTCCCTTGTTTTTGTGTTTATATGAGTGTATATTTTCTTTTGCATCCTAGTACTAATCTGCATTACATTTAAACAGAGTGATGGGCATTTTTCACTGTGAACTCATAGATCACCTCTAAACTAAAAGTTATTTAGCTTGAGGAAGCATCTAAACCGACTTCTTACGATCTCCGGCCACCGTAAGCGCGGGCCTGCGGACGACGAGCATGGGTGGCTCCCCGTCCGACCAGAAACAGACCCGAGCGTACAGCACGTCGTGTTCCGCGCGCGCCTCAAAGAGCCATCAGACCACCACGGATGGGGCCCAATACGGGCTGATGCCGATTCGGAGTCGCGGAAAAACTAACGGGTTACCGGGGCAGCCGAAATGCAGCAGAAGGAACGGGGTAGTTTTTAGTCAGTAAGAGTCTTACACTCCCTTCCGCCGCACCCAGGCGGCGAAAGTCATTTGATGATTAACCCCCCTTAAAAAAAAACCAATCCCTTGCGCTTTTAGTTGTAACTTATGGGTTGTTGAAATCTAAAATGTCGTTATAATGACTCTTTTAAAGGTGTTCTCTAAGAGTAATTTAACAACATCATCATCGCCCCTTTTATCCCCGAAGGGGTAGGCAGAGGTGCACATTATGCCACTGTACAATGTAACACCCACTTTTTACGATATATGTTATGAGTCCCATGTAATAGGAGGTGAGCCTATTACCATATACCGGACACAATTCCAAACTCAGTGCGAACGAAGAAAACGCTACCTTAAACCCATCAATACACAACAAAAACGAATTTACTGGTTATTCTTAATTATAAACCGAGTTTAACCCTCCAATGATAAATCAAAACAGTCGGGGTCGCGGACAATGGGTGCTTATGGTCGTCATTTCGCTCCGGGGTCGAAAATACCCCCGACATGTAATAACAGACCCCTGTCTAATTTAAGCTATCAATTCTCTGTGCTAAATGGTCTTATATTATTTTTGTTATTTTCAGCTAATCATGTGTAATATTTTTTGTTTTGTGTTTTCCTCTTGTGTGCACTTTTATAGGGGTTATTTTTGTGGTGTATTTTTTTCTGGAATAAGCGAGCAGGTGGATCCCTGAATCCCCAACATTCTTCAAACTCCTAATCACCAAAAGGCCGATAACGCAATTGGAACGCCTCTGGGTGCTTACTCTTGAAACCAATCTCAATGTCAATGCAGTTTCAATCTTATAAAATTTCAATAATGATTCAATGTCAAAACTATACAACCCTTATCTTAGCTGTTAAAATAGCGTTCAGAGTCAAACTCAATACCATGTAGTTTATTAAATATCTACGCAATACGGATGCAATGGGCGCCATTGTTACGACTGAAGAGTACGAAATTTCAAAATACTAATGTCGATTGATCGGAATTGGAGTCTAGATATCGATAGGCGACGCCAATTGCTTACCATCAGGTGATCAGTCGGCTGGATTACCGGCTTATCCACATATAAATCTATACTTATAATAAATCTGTAGAGAGGTCAATTCTGTACATAAAATATATTTAAAAAATAACTATCAAGGGGTGGTTAAGGATCGCTACTGATGCCAAAAATGCAATCAGTAAAATTTTTGTCTGTCTGTCTGTCTGTCTGTATGTTCGTTATGGAAACAAAAACTACTCGACGGATTTTAACGAAATTTGGCACAATTATTCTTTATACTCTTGGGCAGGTAATAGTATACTTTTCATTATGCTACGATCAATAGGAGCAGAGCAGTGAAGGGAAATATTGCGAAAACGGGAGAAGTTAGTTACTCCATTCATTAACTTAATACACAAGGAGTTACACGCTGACGGAGTCGCGGGCACAGCTATCTATACTTTTCTGCCGGAAGTCACTATTCCACGCGGACGAAGTCGCAGGCAAGAGCTAGTATAATAATAATTTCAGCTTCATAGGAGAAGATAAGGTTATTACGTATGTACATGAAATAAAGTAGTCAATTTTAAAGTCTTTATTTTTCTATTTTCAATGTGTTTATTTTTACATTTCATACAACTTTACATATAAATAAATAATGAAATCATACAATTATTTATTGTTTATTTATTACTTCACACTTTAAGTAATTTAAATCTTATTTTAATTCGTGGCAAGGGTTTTTAAAAACTATATATATTGGTATTGTACGAAAATGTTCTTTATACTAATCATAATAAAAAATAGGGATATTTTTTAAAATAAATAAGGTTAGTAAGTACTCAATTTGAGATAATTTTAAATTTAGATTTCACTGTTAACTTTTAGACTGCCTTAATTTGAACTAATGCATTATTTAACACTACTTGAACAATCAAGTAATTTTTTTTTTTCTTTTTTATGGCATTAGCCGGTAATCGAGCAGACGGATCACCTGATGGTAAGCAATCGGCGTCGCCCATGGACACCTGGAACACCAGAGGCGTTACAAGTGCGTCACCGGCTTTTTGGGGATTAGGAGTTTGAGGATCGTTGGGGATTTGGGGATTCAGGGATTGGGGAGATTGGGGAAGGGGAAGGTAATTGGGCCTCCGGTAACCTCACTCACACGACGAAACACAACGCAAGCATTGCTTCACGTCGGTTTTCTGTGAGGCCGTGGTATCACTCCGGTCGAGCCGGCCCATTCGTGCCGAAGCATG